AAGAGCCCGATACAACCTGGGAAAAAAAAAAAAAAAAAAAAAAAAAAGTTAGTATGTTTAGCCTTAGTATTGAATATATGTTTATCATCTTCATTATGTTACACAATTTCTTAAGCACAACTTATCTTGTTTTTATTCTGATTTAATTCTGATTGCTTATAGACTCCCAGGAGTTTGATACCTAAAATGTAACTGAATATTATCTATTGCAGATTATACTGCGATCCTATCAGACTGTGCATGAAAGTGGCATTAAATCATATATAAGAATCACTGGGAGACCCTTCTGGCTTTCAGATTCCATAGTCCTAATCTCAAATTTAGCTCAAGAATTTAGAAAGCATTTTTAATAATTTCATTGCTTGTGGTCATACAGATTCCAAGCCATACTGTGGAAAACAGTTCTTAGCATTTAGCTAAGATGAAATTCTACAGCTAATTCTTTTAACAGGAAAATAGTCTTATCAATTAGTTGAGCCCCTGATGGTAGTTTGGAAAAAGCAACATTAACAAATGTTAGCATTATGAATATGCTAACTCTGATGAAATAGCAAATGTGTAGATTATAAACAGAGAAGTTGCTTCAATGTCAAGGGCTTCAGTGTAATAGTCTTCCAATGACATGTTGACATACTTAGTGAATATAATCATCTTTTCAGATTTTTAAAGGGGACTGTCAATATTATCATTTTTGATGTAGTTTTACAATTATTTTTCACAAAAGATTAAATAAGTAAGTGGAGATTAGTATCAAATAATTTAAATCGATTCTTATTTTGAGCAAATTTATAAATAGATGAATGCTTTTACACTTAATTCAAGAATCGAATAAATGTACCCAAAGTAATCCCTATTAGCCATAGACCTTTCAGCCTGATCTTCCCTTGTGGATACAGCTTCTTCACTTTAGAATCTTCAGAGAGTCTAAAGATATCACATGGAATATTAAGGAAGAACTAATGGCTTAGGGAGTGACAAGGTATTTCTGAAAAGAGATAAGGAATTGATAAGAGAAAACTATCCAGTTTGCATCTCCACAGACCCAATTAGATAACTCTTTAATTCTTATAGGGCAAAACAAGTAAGGGAGTTGAAAAGTCCAAGAGTGGTATGGTAAAAGAGTTTACTTCCCAAAGAATAAATATTAAAAGCTTATGAGCAGTGGTAATTGCCCAGCAGATATCACACTGATCACAATTTCTTACCCATCCAACACATTAGCTGAATTTATTTTGAAGTATTCTTGTTGTGTAAGAGACTCCCAAACACAGTGGCATAAAATGGCCATTTGCTGTAGTTCATTTATTCATGAATCAGGAATTTGAATAAGGCTTACCTTTATTCCCTAATATGCATGCTCTAAAATGTTGCCTGTAATTGTACATGTGAGAAGGAAGCATCAGCTGTACAGCAAAGCCAAACTGGCTCATTATCATGGCTGGCTTTCCAGGCAGGCTACGGTCAGTGAGCTATGTTGGAGCCCTGTTGGTGCTGTATATCTAGTTATAACCTCAGCAGGACTGTCTCCAGATAGTCTCTCTTGTAGGTTGGTAGGATCCTCCCAGAGGAATTGTTTCAAGATGATCAGACTGTGTAGAAGATGCTAGAGGAGACACTAAATAGTAGACCAAATAGTCTTTTCCAAAGTATTCTTGGAAATCATATACCACTTTTGCAACATTATGATCAACTATAAGGCAAAACCCAAGGCAACAAAAATTAAATTATCCCATTTGATGGGAAAGGATTTTTAATCACATTGTAGGTAAGTGTGTGGGAAATATTAAGCCCATTTCTTAAATTTACATTTCTAAAAGTTAAAAGTTTAATCTCAAATATTCCCATAAGCTAGGTTCAGTCATTTTCCCCATGTTTATATAAGAGGAAACAGATGCAGGGAAATATGGTGATTTGTCCAAGATCAGACAAGCTGTAAGAGACAATATCAAGATTTGAATTATAGTCTGGGTATCATAATAAATGCTTATATAGTCCCTCAGAATTCTGTTAAAATTAATGAGTGTTCTTCTCAATTTAAATGATATTTCCTTGCATTCAGTCAAATACAATTTAAAAGTTAGAAGGAATTGTTTTACTTTGAAAATTATTTATAATACTTCTATTTTATACTACTTAATATATTAGACAGTAAACAAATTATTTCATATTTAATATGCACCTATAAAAATTAATTCTTACACCTGAGCATGGTGACATGTGGCTATAATCCCAGCACTCAGGAGGCTGAGGCAAGAGGATTTCCATAAGTACAGGGCCAGCTCTGGCAACATAGTGAGTTCAAGGACAACCCAAACTTCATGGTGAGACCCTTTCACAGCCCTATTCCACCCAGAATTATTTCAGATGATTTCTCCCTGAAAATGTTTCAAT